AATCTGCTGAAATCTTCTGCTGTCCCTCCAGATATCTTATGTTATTTCTATAAAGGTTTTTGTTTAATTAGTCATTCAAGCAAAATAACTTTTTTAACCCTTCTTTTTTTTAAAAAAAAAAAGCACATGAATTTAGGAGATCAGTTGAAAAAGAACTATAGTGTCAGAGTGCACAGAATCATTAGAAAATGGAATTAGGAGCAGTTCCAGCAGCAGTAGTAGTAGTGTTTGTAGCAGTGAGAGTAGAAATGGAAGCAGAAGGTGTGGACATAATAGAAATAGAGAGCATCATGAATATGCTAAAGCATTCAGCTGTTCAGCTTTGAATGGGAAGAATGTCAGAGTAATGTTGATTTAATACAGTGGTTCCCAAACTTTTTCAGTCCACCGCCCCCTTGGTGCTACAAACTCATCCTTGGTCCCCCCCACCCAGGGGTTGGATTCAAATTTCTGTGGGCATGGCCTAATTTGAGGGCGTGGCTTGCTGGTCGTGTGACTGGGTGCGCGTGGCTTGCTGGTCATGTTGACTGGCTGGCATGGTTTGCTGGCTGGGCATGGCTTGCTGGTCACATGACCGGGTAGGTGTGGTTTGGTGGTCATGTGACTGGATGGGCGTTGCCAGGTGACTGGCAAGCCAAATACAAGTGGTCCTCATTTAATGGCTGGTTGTTTAGCAAGTGTTCTAATTTATGAGTGGCTTCCCCATAGCTACTTGACCTGTTTTTGGAGTTTTGACAGCCATGCACACATACACACACACTCTCTTCTAACCCTGCTGGGGCAGGTTATTGGACTAGAATCAGCAAAGCATCTCTGATTAGATTCTAGTAGTGAATAGAATCTAATCAGAGATGCTTTGCCAATTCTTGTTGATTTGTTTTATTTTTATTTCTTTATTTTATGTTATTGAATTGCATTGACATGTGTGTCCCTTCTTGTGCACAATCCAGAAGCTTTTGTGATTCTTTGCAGCAAAAATTACTGACCTCTGGCTTTGCTCTACTTTTCAAATGTGCCGCCACTGCCACGTTTTAGGTGCCGTCCCCGCAGGTCCACCCCATTGAGCCTTGCTGCACTGGAGGGACCTACCCAAGTAAGTCCAAGTGGAGCGGTGCACCAAGTCCATGGGGTGACCCTGAGAGAGGGAAAGAAAGAGAGAGAAAAGAAAGAGAGAGAAAAAGAAAGAAGGAAGAAAAAAAGAAAAAAGGGAAAGAAAGAAAAAGGGACAACAAAGAAAGAGGGGGGGATGGAAGGAAGGGACAGAAAGAAAAAGAAATTAAGGAGGGAGGAGAAAGATAATGAGATATCTATTCTAGTCCAATCACCTGCTCCAGCAGGCCTAGAAGGGAGCGTGTGTGTGTGTGTGTGTGTGTGCGCGCGCACGTGTGTTTTCCTTGTAATTTACCAGTACATTTTGGTTTTGCCTTCTTCAGAATTGGCACTGTAATACATTGGGGAAAAGTATTTTTTTAGGGTGGAGATCTGGTCCAATGGATTCTGTTTAAAGCCTCAACAAAATGTGAGAGCTTCCTAATAGTCTTGACCATGTTTCGTCCACAAAACCTTTAATAGAAGCCAGATGTTTCAATGTGGAAAAGGGCCTCAGTCTAAACTAGACCTTATTTCAATCTAATGCATCAGGCCTCTCTCTCTCTCTCTCTCTCTCTCTCTCTCTCTCTCTCTCTCTCTCCCTCCCTCCCTCTCTCCCAAACCGGCTTTGCTCTACTTTCCTGATGTGCCTGTGGGGCCAGCGCTTTGAACATGGATGGATGGATGGATGGATGGATGGATGGATAGATAGATAGATAGATAGATAGATAGATAGATAGATAGATAGATAGAGACACAGAGAGAGACAGGTAGGTAGGTAGGTAGGTAGGTAGATATATTGGTAGATAGGTAGGTGGGTAGGTAGGTAGGCAGGCAGGTAAGCAGGCAGGAAGACAGACAGACAGATAGACAGACCTTTTTGATATATGTATGGATAGGTAGGTAGATAAGTAGGTAGGTAAATAGATCTATATTGGTAGATAGTTAGATAGGTAAGTAGGTAGGTAGGTAGATAAGTAGGTAGGTAGCTAAGTAGATAGATAGACAGATAGATAGATAGATAGATATGTAGGTAGGTAAGGTAATCAGAAAAACAGGCAGGTAGGTAGGCAGGAAGGCAGGCAGACAGATAGACAGACAGACAGACCTTTTGGATGGATGGATGGCTAGATAGACAGACAGACAGAATGCGACAGCAGTGGCACTTTGAGAAAGTAAAGCAAAGCCGCCACCGCATTTGAGGCGCAGGCTCCAGAGTGGTGCAACAGTCAATGGGTGAGCCTGCAGTGCTGGCGCCTCAAACGCCCCCCTGCTGCCTTTTAATGCCCCTCTGCCAGCCCCCTTGGGAGCGCTAAGAGGCAGCAGGGGGACGTTCGAGGTGCCGGCACCACAGGCTCACCCCATTGACTATTGCACTGGAGTGGTGCAAGGGGCTCAGTGGGGTGAGTCTGCGGAGCTGGCGCGTCAAACGCAGCGGCGGCACGTTGCGAAAGTAAAGCAAAGCTGCCTGCCCTGGGCTTCCTCAACCCTGCCCTGCTCCAGGAAGGAGGGAACAGCACCACCCTCTATGATGTGAGTGCCCTGGGAGGAGGGGCAGCTTGGGAGGATGATCCCTGGTGGGAGCGGCAGCCTGTGAACTTGCTGTCAGGCATGGCAACTACAAAGAGGAGTGGGCTTGGCTGAGCGGGATACTGGATATTGGGCATGTGGTCAAAGCCCCCCTTCCTCTGCCTTCCCCTAGGTGATCCATGGATGCCACTGATTGTTGCACCAGAGTGGTGCATCGGAGCTGCCGCATCCGAGGCGCCAGCTCCGGAGTGGTGCAACAGTCAATGAGGTGACCCTGCGGGGCCGGCGCCTCGAACGCCCCCCCCCCGGCCCCCCTCCCCCCTCGCGCCCCCCCCCGGCAGCCCCCCCCCCCCCCAGGGGTCAGTACCACCCAGTTTGGGAACCACTGATTTAATAGCTGACCAGCTGCTGTAATATTGCAATACTGTAGTGATGATACAATGGTAGCAATGAGTCAGCAGGGCTATCTGACTGCTACTGCTTTAAGAGGCTGTAATATGGGAGAGGTTCTGTGACGGTGTATCTCTCTCTCCGTGTGTGGTTTCTGTGGTGTAACTGATTATTGATGGCTGTTTGTTCAAGGCCAGTATCAAAGTAGTTGTATGTATGTATGCTTTTATAGGTATAAAACCACTGTATGTAAATACAAACCTGTGTGCTGTATTTGCTCCTGGGTTGTCTCACCTAGTCACATTGTGCGCACTCTGACATATAGCGATCTAGCAAACCATGAGATGAACTTTTTTTCTCTTGATAATTGACAAATAAATAATAATAATAATAATATTCAAAGCTTGGGCTCAACTAACTCTCCGACATTTGAACATTGTAAAAATAGACATCTGATTAAAATATTTATATATGAATAGCCAGATATGGGAAGGAACTCAAACTGCTTTCCTGGCCATCCAGCAGTTCAAACACCATACTGAGGCAGGATCTAGTACAACTTAGTATGGCCAGGTTGGCATGGCCAGCTTGTTGCCACCAGCTCGCCATCACCAAGTTGTCACAGGACAACTCAACATGGCCAATTTGTCACGGGGACCACTTGCCATGGATAGCTGAAGGGAGAGCTGGGCAGGCAAGCGAGCAGGCATCCATAGCCAGGGATCTCTCACCAGAGGGAGAACCGGCTGGGCAACCGAACAAGCAGGTGGCACAGCTCAGGGTAACAGCAGCAGCACCTGATGAACCACTGCGTCACCAAAGCTTTTAATATTGGTTGCCTAATGTTTCTATAGTGTCTCATATTTAAAGTTTCAATCCTGTTTAGCTAAATGCATCCTATATGCATTATTTAGAAGACATAGTATAGCACTTAAACATAAAATCTCTACAGCCTTTTATCCAGAAAGCATATTAATGGACTGCAGTAGGGGTAAATGCTCTTAGATACATCTAATTCTGTTTACAGAGAGTATTGTCTACTGTTTTACTTCATCCCAAAGTGGCTTGGACTATTCTCTTTACTAACAATGCAGAAATATCACAATACTTACCAGAACTGCAGGATATGGTTAGGAGAATGAATGCCGTTAGGAGAATGTATTTTATTTTGTCCATGTCTAGAAGGGAAATAATACAGAGAAATAATACAGCAAACTAGAGACAAATAAGAGCTAGATGCAGGAGAGATTTTATTTTATTTAATAGACAGTGACCAAACTGATAGGATTTTTCTTTTGTCTGTGTGCACATGTATAGTTGGTATGTCTGATTGAATTCAGCCCGAGCTTCAAAATAAACCGTTGACTTCTTTTTTCTTTGTCCTTTTGTTTCTTTCCGCTCCCTTTTAGTTCTTTAAGCAAGATTTTGATAATAAAACTTGGAACTCTTAATGAATTAGTGATGCTCATGAGTACTGATGGAAAAAAGATTGCCGCTTGCCTGGAGAGGAATGTGGGCAGTGGCAGCATTCATGACTAAGCATTTGCCAAGAATGCATTAGGATCGTGCTTGGAAGGTTTAAAAAGCTGTCACAGGAGCCAGAGGAACAAAAATTTTGCACCCCATGCATTTAGCAAGGCAATGTGCTTTATGAAAGGAGTTCCTCCATGTACTGTTTTTGCCCATTAAAATCTATCCCCAGAAACTAAAGTCTCTTCCCATCTGGCATTTTTCCACAGTTCTCAGTCAGCATGGTGAACAGATATCCTTTACTTTGCATGAAGTTGCCTAACTGGTTTTGCTGTTAGGATTGCAATATTATTTAGCTGGCTATAAGGCCTATTCAGTTCAATGGGATCTATTTGGATTAAAAATTCATTGGATTGCAAGTTGTTTTGGCTTCAGTGTAAATTAGGAGCACCAGTACATTCAAGAAAACTCTGAACTTGCAGAAAGATAAGAATGAATGAATGTTCGGAAGAAGAAAAAACCCCACACATACGCATATACCACAATTAAACATGAATGGAAGAAACAGCCCGACAAATATTCTGCATGAATGGAAATAGATATAGTTTAGGAGGAAAAATAAGAAAAAAGGAAGGTAAAGAAATTGCCATGCTATAGCCCCCACTTTTGTGTTTAGGGCCAATACCAATAAATGTTGCAATAACCTATCATCCTGATTGTGTGGAAGGTGGAATGTAAAGAACTAGCTTGCAAAGGTAATATCTAAAATAAAAATGTACTTTGCACAAAATAGCATAAACATGTTATAACTGGTTGGCTGATGTTCCTATTATCATGGCATGGGTATACCTAATTATAATTATTATCAGTAGCATGCTATCTGTGGCAGGGGTATACCTAATTGTCTCTAATAAAACTAACTAATCAACAGCTTCTCTATCATATTGATCTGCTTGCACACTGATTACATGCAGGGAACATGTATTGTTCCTTGCAACAAAATGTGCTTGTGCATGAGATTCAAATACTTGCTGACAACTTCAGTAATATATCTCATTGTTTCCTCATTCTGTTAACAGAGGAGAGGAATTAACAAAGGTGCAATATTTAGGAAACAATTTAAACTACCTAGAACAAGTTAAGAAGTCTCTGAATGCAGGAGGAGTGCACCTCTTCTACCGGAAGGAAAGATTTGCTACTGAGATACTGTTTACATTATCACAGGTGTTCAAGTTTATTTGTGGAAGCTTCACAAATGGAGATTTCCCACTAGCAATGTTCTGAGTGGGAGAAAAGAATATGTTTACAGCTGTTGAGGATTTTCATGGGTCTTAAGCCCATCCTCTTGTTAATTATTAAGGGGAGATGGTGGATAGGAAGTTGTTTTGCATTGCCCATATTTAGTGCATCAAGTCCGAATGGTATAAAAGTTATGACTTTACTATAGAATTTTCATGCATTGCCAGAAAAGTAGTTATGTCTCTATCAAAAAGAGGGGTGACTATTCACCTCAAAAATTCTATCCACTAATATACGGTTATATAAACTAAGAAACATTTAGAAATAATGCTTATAAACTAAGCGGGCAAACAGTGGTTTAGATCTTTTTCTAGTAAAAAGATTAAGGAAACACTGACCTCATCTGGTCACAAACATTTGATGCCCAGATGTTTATGCAGTCCTACAGGATTGCACTATTATTTAGCTATTTATGGTAATTAATAAGGATTCCTTTCTCACATTTTCATCAGTCAACTAGCAGATGACTTTGATAGTAGGGCTGTGCACGCATGTAATACATGTTACATAAATGGAAATCCTTTTATTACTTTCAACTGGCCATGTTCCAGTTTGTCAATAACTTTCCAAAAGGAGCAGTATGCAAAATTGGAGAGAACTACTGCATTCTGTTAGGGATGATGCTGGTGATGGTAATGAGGACTTTATTGCTCTGCTAACAAGTAAGGAAAAATAAAAAACGGAACAAGTGGGTGTGTATGTATATGTATGTATGTATGTATGTATGTATGTATGTTACAAAATAGAGCATCCTATATCTATATAGGGCATCTTATATCTATCTATCATCTATCTATCTATCTATCTATCTATCTATCTATCTATCTATCTATCTATCTATCTATCTATCTATCATCTATAAAGATTGGTTACAAAATAGAGCATCCTATATCTAGCAATGAAGTTCTCAAGAGAGAACATATTAATTTCTGCATTCCTGGCTAGAAATAATTTCATCTCATAATACAAAAAATATTCAAATCATAATCAGCACCTAATTTAAGAAGGCAGACCAATGCCAAGAGGCAAGACCTTTTTTAGAAGAGGATTTTGTGAAAGTCTATTGTCCTTCAGCATTACACATAAGGCAAACATTCGGTGCTTCTCTTGGCCAAAACAGGAGAGTCCCTTTGAGATGTCCCTATGCTGAAGAAATGAAAAGATGGAATATTGGTCTAGATTTAATAATATAGGAAAGGATGGAGTTTGCTCATATTGTGTTACTATTCCTCACTGGGTCTTGTAATGTGGATCTTGGTTTTTTTTTCCCCCCTTCACTTTTCTTGTCTTATGATGATGACAGTGGTTTAATTGTATGGTCATTGCATTTTTGTCTTTTGATATAACTAATAAAATCACGGACATTTTACATGCATTTGGAAGAGTCTCCAAATGCAGCAAGACTGCACATTACATTCAAAGCCTGCCCCCCCCCCCCCCCCCCCCCAAACCAGTCCCAACTAAGGTGCCTCCGGTCAAACAGAATACTAAACGTCTCTGAAGGGCTTTGGCTCTTCAGAAAAGCGGGAGGAGCAGCATCTAAAATGTTATAAGGTACCATCCTCTCGCCTTCCGCGAAGGGACGACGACTGAAGGGGAAAAAAGGGAGGGAGAGAGGGGCGGGAGAGAGAGAGAGCATTCCTGCCCGAACGCGGCAGAAGATGTAAGAGAGCCTCTATGGATCGGGCCGTGCCAGATAGTTTTAAGCGCGACAAATGCGGTCCCAAAGCGTCACAACCCCGGCTCCTCCAATTTGGCCGGCTTCTCTTTCACCTCCCCCTCCACCAGCAAGCGTCCCTCTCCAGACTCCTCTCTGGATGCCCCTTCCCACATGCGATCGGGCTTAGAAAGAGGTTGGCGGGAAGCTCCTTTCGTGTCCGAACGAATCGCTCACCCGGGATGCTGCTTCAAAGGCGCGCCGAGCTGCTGAGCCGCAGTCCTCCCCCTGCGGCCGCCGCTAAATCCTGAAACCCGTACGGCTCTGGAGCACCAGCAAGCTCCGCCTTCGGCTCCCTACTGCCGGTCTGCGGCAAAAGCAGCTGCCAGCCTCACCTCAGCGGCCAAAAAGAGAAGTTACCTTTTTTTTTGTGAGTAAGAAAACAAATAAAATAAATAAATAGGAAGGGAGAGATCTGGCATTGGCCTTCCGTCTGCAAATAGTTAGGGAAGTTCCCCGTCAGTATCAGGACTACCTTCGGGCAATCTTTTCAATAAGAAGGGAGACTTCACTTTTATCAGTGTGGTTGGACTGTTTCTGCAGTCAGCAAAACGATATTCCGCCCGTTTCTAATGTACTCCAAAGAGTAGCAGCACACTGTCGCTATTGGTAATAGGGGAACATCAACCCCCACCCCCTGAAAATTATACTAATGGATGTATGCATTTTTAAATTCAGGGATATCTCTGGTATTTGTACCTGTCTCATTTGGGACAGTTTTCTTATCTATTGCTTGTGTTTACATAGCTTACTTAGAAGCCATGCCGTCCAAATAGGGCAAGTCAGCAAAGCAAAAATTCATAATATGTGAATCCATAATATAAAATTTAAAGAAAAAGAAAAGATGTAGAAGAGGAACTAGGATATGAAACACAAGGAGTGGGGGAGGGAGCCATGCTCTCTTCCCAGGGTGAGAGGAACTTGGGACTTCTTTTCTTTTTGCAATTCTTCTCTCTTTTGCTATCCCTTCTTTTTCTTGTGTTGCTTTCCAGGGATGAAAACATACAATGGTTACATGTTGCTTTTGATTGATGCCATGAGAAATATCCCAATTTTCAGCATCTTAGTTAGGTGTTTAGGATTAACTTTAAAAAAACTTCCAGTAGCTATGAACTTCAGTTTCTAGCAAGGGTCAGCCAGATGCCTTTGGGAGGGTCTTAAAAGGTAGAGACTCATTCAAGTCAAGCTCAATGCCTGGCGACCATGCACTCTGTGTAACTTACTTGGCAACAGTAAACAATTGATTTGCCAAAGCTGACTTTTGGAATATTAACCAGCCTGAGCTTATGTTACATTTTTGGAATCAATCAAGGCTAATGAGATAGGGACAATTTCGAAGATCTTGCCAAGCATGTCAATATAGCGCTACTGTTATAGGTATTTAATCAGAAAATCTTTGTTCAGTGAGTCCAAGGGGGTCAATTTACACTCTTGCACATTGAATACCATATTCCAGGAAACATCAAAGATTTGTCAATGTCTGAGATGAAGGACAATATGGCACTTTCCCACTTTCATGCCCGGCAGTTAACTGCATTATACTCCATCTAAAAGGATGAAGCTAATTTGGAGTGCTTGGGAAGGGCTATATAACAATGTACAGCAACACTGTGTCACCACACTATATCCTCTACTCATAGGTTATGCTTGCGGCAGCTGTTTAGCCTGGTGCAGAAAGTTTGACATCCATACATGAGGTATCACACTGTGTGCTTGTGTGTGCCTTCCAGTCAGTATTGACTCCTAGAGACTGCCCAGACAAGTTTCTGCATTTTTCTTGGTAAGGTTTTTCAGAAGTGCTTTGCTTTATTGCTGTAATTTGTATCCTGTAATCATAGCAATAGTTGTTAATTTATTTGTAAGTTCAATTCAGAGTTCTGGCTGCTACCCTTAAAACCCTGTGTAGCTTTGCCTTCCAACTATCTTCCTTCAAGTTTTCTCAACCTGTACATTCCTGCAGGAGACTTTCCATCCCATTGGAGATAAGGAGTATCACAAGCTTTTTCTGTAGTTGTCCCCATGCTGTAGGACACCATGTACCCTGAAATAGGGAACGTCCAAATCTCATTTTCCACAAATCATTTAAGACCTAGTGTTCTGTTGAGGATTTGGGGCCTAGTTATATACATGCCTTTTAAATAGTTTGTTCCCGTTTTCATTATACAGATTTCCTCATTTTTTGTAAAACCTTTGAGCTGCATAGAATCGGACAGTGAAAAAAAAATCATGTAATAAATTAATGTCAAGCATAAAGCTCCAATGTAAGAAGCACATCATCAAATAAAATGCAGTGTATTTAATAATGCTATTTGCATCAGAAGAGAATATTGAGTTGGATGCAATACAATGGCATCTTGTAAGGCAACATACTAGAGTGTATGATTTTAAGTATCCTAATTTGTAGACTTAATATTTTTACCTATACTAGCTATAATAGTACAAGCCCAGTAAGTCTAAAAGTGTCTTGTACACAAATGAAGCATTAGACTGGAAGTTATGGGACAGTACCATAGAAAATATCCTGCTGTAAAAACCCCAAATCCTGTAGATACAAACCAATTTTTTGACATTGATTTCTTTTTTCAGTGCAAAATGAAACTGTAGTAAAAGTCTTATAACAGGCTTAACAGAGTTTTTAAAAACTTTAAAGTATAAAATTGCACATCATATGCATTTTGAAGTGGAAAAAACCTAAATCTTGTCTCTATCACTATGCATGTCATAGTCCTATTCATTTAACATAATTACTACTGTACAAAAACATTCTTTGGCCATGTTTCAACCCTCCTGGAAAAAAATGTGCCAGAAATCTAGGTACAAACAGTTTTTTCCTCCAATTTCCCAATACATTTTACATTTAGATTGTCTTGAAGTTTAATTTTTGCTTTAGTAAATAGAATAACAATTAATTCAGTTGATATAAAAATATGTAGAAATTACTGTAATTACTATATGAATTTTTATCTCACACGTTCTTGTTTATCTTTTTGAAGTGAATGATAACTGTGTTCCTTTTATACTATATTTCTTTTCCAATTCATTAGGGAAGTCAAAATTTTCCTATTCCCAAATAAAAATAGACAGCGTTCATACAGTAATTCTTGTAATTCCATGGTATGGTCATTTACTATTTCCATCTACATCAACTCTGAAATCAGGATCTGTACAGATTTCCCAGTATTAAGGATTTAACATTCAGTCATACTGTATGTTTGTGCAAAAGCTTTTCTAAAACCAATTGGACTCAGTTCCAGGTAAATATAAATACTTGTTTCAACTATTTCACTTTCCCAAACTTTTTACAATAACTCTTGATGCAGATTCTTAGCTATGTTTTTCAAATGGTTTGTTTTTAGAAATTATAAAAATCCATATATCATTCAAAAAACATGAACGGTTTATCTTTAAATCAAAGTTCTAATCATTTATCATATTAGATAAATGGTATTTGAAGAGTGAATTCCTTTACATATTTTATTACGTTATTAATGAGAAAATGTAATAGGCAATTTGCATTTCATAATCAAAGTGAAGGGCTGTAGAAAACCTATTATGACAATGAATGTAGGATTTAAAACATGACAATTTCTAATAATTTTAGTTTCCTGTTATATGTCCTAATTTTAACAATACAAGAATACCCAATTCAACCTAAAGATCATAAACAGTTTAAATATTTCATTTACTTATGTCAGAGGTAACAATACAAAACATGCCTATTACTATTTTATTTGCCATTACAGTTTTATATATATAAAAAAACCAAGCACCATTCTACATTTAAATAACTTTTATATATACAATATTAAAGTACTCCCAATGCTAAGTTTTTCAAAATAATAAAGAAAGGTTCCCATGCTAGTGCATTTCCATCTTTACATCATCTTCAAAATGAAAAACAAAGGAAAATCTTGTTTCTACACTTGATCAGGTACAAGCCAGAAGCAGTATCACCATTCATATCAGTTATTCCACAGTCAAGAATTTAATATATACATACATACACACATGCATGTGTGTTTGTATATTTATATATGCATGTGTGCATATACATACACATACACACATATATACTCATCTATCTGCAGAACCCCAAACATTGTTTTGAAAGTCTGATCAAGTCTGACGTGGACAACGCCCAGAAGGAATTGGAATGCCTAGAATTCTATGTCTGTCTTCATATTCGTCAGTATCTGTCGAGTCTTCCTCCTCATCCATGGCACAATCATTGTGATTGGTTTCCTAAAGACAGGAAAGGCAACATAATTTAGATTTTCAGTTTCTTTAAAGAACCATCCTAGGATTGATAATAATGACACTAATTATTATTAGTTTTGGTGCCTTCAAGTCCAGTCCCTTCAGTTTTCTTGGAAAGATTTTTCAGAAGTGGCTTGCTATTGCTTCCTTTCTTAGGAACTGGCTCACAATTCCCCAGCTGGCCCTTGTGCCTAAGGCAAAATTAGAAGTCACAGTCTCCCAGTTTCTAACCTGATGCCTTCAACCATTCCATCAAACTGACTCTAATGCTTACATTACTATCTCAGTAAAACACAATAACAGAACCATAAAGAAGTTAATTTTTGTTTTTTGTGACATCCATATACTTTTAACTTGATTTCGCAATTGGCTGGCTAAATATTTGACTAAATTCTCACTACTGCCATATTCTACTTATCAAATAAAAAAACTAAACAGAACATTTTAATATATCCCAAACGAATTGTAACTTACAAAACTGTTGAATATACTAGAAATCACTACTCAATTATGTACAATATTTCTCAATTACGTAAAGTGCCTAAATAATTGGAACTCAACTGTCTGTTAAGTAGGTCATGCAGGTAAATAGAAAGCAAACAAGAATTCTTGACAAAATAGGATATAAACCTGAATCTAAATCTAATATTCTGTTTCTTAATCAGCCAATTCCAATTTTTGTAGAAGGTCCAATGAGTAAAATATTCATGCACATCAGTTTTTATTAAAATACTGTATAGGATATTTTATTATGTATTGGAATGCTTTTAAATGTTTTATGAACTCTACCTTAATAATTTCAGAGAATAACATTAATCAGTTTTTTTAACAAAGTACATCAAGACAAGACCTTTTTTATTTACGTCAAACTGGATTGTGTCATGTGACATATCGTGATGTATCACAATGTTTTTTGCTTTTGCGGGGTAGACGTGGCCTGTGAGTGACTCATCTGGCCCACAGGTCACCAGTTTGATAGTCTGATTTACACCATTATAGAGTACCTAAATATAAATGACTGTCACTAGAAATGTAGTCCAAAATCCTGTCAAAATCCTGTAATCCTGTCAAAACTATTTCATCCTCAGCTATTAATGTAAGTACTATTGTAATTATATATTAATCATTTATCTAAAATTCATTTTGTTGGATTATATTTTGAAATGAAATTACATAGCTCTTATAGATCCTCCATTCTGCATGTTTAACACATATTTACTATCAGAAATCAAATTAGATTGTTGAACATCCAATTTGAAGTACATTAGTTGATGACTGATTCTGAAAGCTATAAATTGTACACAATTATGACCATCCTATGATGGAACAGGGAAGCTGGAGATAAGTTTGATGAAAGCAATGAGAAGTCTGTTCATAGAGGATGTTGCCTTGTTTGATAATTTTTATGCAAAAAGAATACTATTTTAAATATACAAGTCTATTAGTACTTGGGAACCAGATATAAAAATTATGGCCTAAACCAGGTTGCTTCAACTTACCATACGTGCTATGGATACTTTGAATGTTGGGCAAACCATGTGAAATCTAGGAATGGTAACATTAAAATATTTATCTTTGTAGTATAGACAATGGAATGTATAGTATCCTTCCATGTATCCTGATGTAGTAGGAAATGTAGTACAACTAGTATACTCATAGACTCGACCAGGACTAATTATTGGAAATTCTCCTGCAGAAATAAAATGATCAGAGAACTTTAGAGTCAAGTACACTTAAATTAAGGTCAAATTATGTTAGGATTAAATCATTATTTTAAAATGTGATTCAATAGCTTGTAACAAATAGTGACTTGAAACAAATAAGATGTCGTGCATTTCTTACGGATTTCCTTGTTGCTCTATGACAGGGGTATCAAGCTCAGTTTCATTGATGGCCGCATCAGGGTTGTTTGACCTTGGTATGTGTGTATATTTGGCCAGGGTCGACGTGGCCAGCATGACATTACTCATTTCAGGGGTGCCTGTGGTGGCTCGAGTGCTCTGGCAGCAAAAAGCTCCATTTTTGGCTGCTATGGCTTCCAGCTACCCTCTGCCAGTGAAAATGGAGCTCTGGAGGGCTACGTGCGGCTCTCTGAAGCTCCATTTTCACTGGCAGACGCACTGTGGGCTAGTCCTTCACTGTTTCCAGGGTAGCCCCATGGGCCAGATCTAAGCACCCCGGGGACCTGATTCTGTTCCTGGGCCTTGAGTATGACACCACTGCTTTATGACAATCAGAATACTGAAATTTAAATTTAACCTGAACATGGATGTATAAGACTTCATCTATTTTGAAATAGATTCTAGACTGAGATACCACAGCAGTATTTTTTTTCTTTAAACTAACATAATTTAGTCAAACACCTTTATTATTTTGAGAAAATCAACCAATCATTTCTTCATTTAGTCAACATTTTGAAACAATGTCCCTTACCTACTACTCCAGGACCCTGAACCTCCTCCACATCACCTTTGGCATTTGTTATTCTCCAATACCGGCTATCTAATTGACAAGCCTTCTCTGGAAGTGCATCTTTGGACATCTCAATTCTAATAAATTACACAAAATGCTTCTTTTAGAAATGGGTCTTTTACACAGCATAGCAGCATACATTGCCCAGAAATATTAATCCTTAACTCTTGTGGAAATATTTTTGTAAAGGAAGCAGGATGTATGCTATCTACATTACATATCAACTTATGAATGCAATGCAATTTGAGAATATAGGCATTTAAAAAAATAACCATTTTTGAAAAAGTGAAAGTAAATAGCAGACATTCTGCTTTTCATATACAGTATACAGCATCACATATTCCTCAGTGATACAATAAAAAACGCTGAGGATCTTTTTTTTAAAGTATCATATAAGAAAAATATATTAATAAAATAGCCAGAAAGTACCATATGTATTCTATCATGATAAATGGCTATGACAGATGTAGAACCATATTACAAAACCACATACTATAAGAGGCAATAAGAAGCATTTTCCTATGGAGATAAATATATTTTGAGTGTATTGGAAATGCAAGTAAAATGTTTAAGAAAAAAGGATAGGTAGTCCTTGACTTACGACTACAATTGAACCCAATATTTCTGTTGTTAACTAAGACATCTGTTAAGTGAGTTTTGCCCGATATTACACCTTTTTTACCTCAGTTGTTAACTGAATGACTTCAATTGATAAGTTAGTAAACTGGTTCTTAAGTGAGTCTGGCTTCCCCATTGACTTTGCTTGTCAGAAAGTTGCAAAAAGTGATCACATGACACTGCAACCATCATAAATGTGAGTCAGCTACCAAGTGTCCAAATTTTGATCGGGTGACCGTGGGGATGCTACAAAAGTGATAACTGAAAAATGCTCATAAGTCACTTTTTTCAGTGCCATTGTAACTTTTGAACAGTCACTAAATAAACTGTTGTAAGTTGAGGACTACCTGTACACTAAGGAAACCAACTTAACACTTGTGGAGACATATGATTATTACAGGAAAAAAAATGCTGAACTGGAATGGTTGTTTGACAAACGTTCTACACTGCAAAACAATCCAAAAACTTAGTTTGGGTTCTCAAGTGGATCAAAATATTGGCACATTTCAATTATTCTTAAAAACATTTAAATATTTTAAAATATTTTTAGCAATTAAAATATGTAGTAACCATTCAATAACATATTTGTACTAATTTTACCTGATTCTGTAAGTGAAGAAGTAATGAGGCGGATGCACAGAGCTGAGTTCAGGTAGGAAAGATGTGGAAACTGAAACAGTAATATCTCCTGTTTTGGCTACACAGTCCTTTTCATGAACATATCTAGCAAATGAAAAAGTAAAATTTTCTTATCTGATATGTAAAGGAATAAATATTGAAAGATTAAAGCCAGCATTACATGTTTCAAATAGTGTATTTTATACTTTATTCAATACACCTGCTGTATTGAATACACCTGTTATTTCTACTGTATTCACATCTAAATATTGAAATGGATATTTCCTCACATCTACTTTTCATCATTACAGATACTTATGAATATCATGAAGAGATTACTTAAAACTAGGGCTGGAAAGCTAAGTTTCCAAGAGCAGCTACATCTGCCATTCAGAGAGCTGAACTGTACCTATTCTAGAATCATCTAAACTGTACATCATGATGTCTTGCCTGTACAATTTTGAAAACCCTGCATAATCGGTGGGGCTCCCAACTTAATGAGGAACAGCATCACAGCAATCACTTATAACAAAAATAATATAGTAATTAATGTCAACATTACATTCCCCACTTCTAATGCTGATAAGTAAATCTCCAAAGGCCTTTCTAGATATTTTAACAAATATCTAGAAAGTGATGATAGGAGAAGCCATTCTTGTTGGGATGAGGAGTGGGTAGGTAAGGGCAAATTATTTCAGAGAAAAGGAGCTTCTACCAAGAATGACTGCCTCTGTCATAACCTTAGCATTACTTTTGTTTAGCACAAAACAATACAGGTAGTCATTAACTTATGACAGTTCATTTAGTGACCGTTCAAAGTGACAACGGCACTGAAAAAACTGACCTATAACCATTTTTTTACACTTATGACCATTGCAGCATCCCAATAGCCACGTGATTTATATTAGGATGCTTGACACCTCACATTTATGACAGCTGCAGAGTCCCAGGGTCACGGGATCCCCCTTTGTGACCTTCTGACGAGCAAAGTCAATGATGAAACCAGATTCACTTAACCATATTATTAATTTAACAACAGTGCAGTGATCCAGTTAACAAATGGGACAAGAAAAGTCATAAAATGGGGCAAAACTCACTTAACAAATTTCGCAGCAACATAAATTTTGGGCTTAATTATGGTTGTAGGTCAAAGACTATCTGTACATTAGGAAAACATTTTTTCTAAGAGCCTGCTTTTTTTGTATTACAGATAAATGATAACAAATGGGTTTTTCATTAAAATGTAATATTTAAATAATATTAGAAGCATTTTATAAAATGTAGTAAAATATCTCTTTCAATAGTCTCGCATATTATTAATACTTTTTAGAAGATTATGAGGCTTTGTTTCTGTAATCTGTAGTATAAAACCTTTGCTTTCTCATTTATATATTACTATACCTAAATACTATCAATATTTACATTTATACAAATTTCCATTGTTTTTTTCTTAGTCACAATATAATATTGTATACTGTATTGTAGCAGTATTGTATTGTAAACTAAATTTATAATACCTGAAAATCTGGTCTCGGATGATTGGATAGGCACCTGTTACTACATTGTTAACATAGGAGGTGAACCACTCCAAATAGGAATTACCTAGATGTTGAAGAAGGAAAAACAAGTTTACAAGAAAAAAAAAACAGGATCAATTGATTAGATTTTCAATAAAATCTATAAAACTCAAGTCTTCCTTGGAACATATATATTGTCTCTTTGATGGACAAGTTAACTATAAACAAGTTAGGTATCTGATTAAGCTGATACAATATTAATTAATAATTTATGAACATAACATCAAAGTGACATAGTAAAGACTGAATAGTTCATTCTTTATGTAGAACTAGAATGTCACAGTAAAAGACACCCCTGGGGTAGAAAGATGGATTGGAAATTAGTTTTCAAAGCTTTGTAATAACCTGGATAAAGTTTTAGAGTAGGGAATACATGATGAGAATTGTGGTTCCATAGAAGTTATTTCCGGAATCTTTGCTTAAATAGCTGCCAATCAACCTTCTTCAATCAGATGAGTTTCAATTATGTTAGACTATAATCTCATCTGTAGTTGATCCAATAGTTGACTCACTTTATTTACTAGGCTGCTGTAAAGACACACAGTAATAAAGCAGACATGTTGAGCATCTGTTGGGAATAAGCATATATATGTTGCTCATCATCCTAATTATCGTCTTCCCGTTATTCCTCTTGAAAATGTTTCTCCATTAGAGTTCCAAAACATATTTACCTGTGATAAACATATCAATTGCAGATGGATTACGGGCCATTTGATCCTTCAAATAAAATGAAACAGGTTATTTGTATCCTAAAATAAATACTTTTAAAAGGCATAAACAGCAGTAAGATTTCAGTCAAGTTTTTATAGTTTTAGTTCTATATACTCTCTTTTTAAAGTGTGTTGTGCAAATATATTGTCTGCTACTAACATTTAGAATAATTTAGCAAACTAAACTGGAAAATTTAATTTTGTTATATTATCAAGAACATAGTTTGAAAAATAACTAAAAATACATGAATTAAATCCTTTAAATTCATAACTTTTTAAATATTGTTATTCTAGTTTAAAGCAAATTACAATATCCTGCTAGGATGCACTGAGGTTTCAATCCTAAAACAAGCAAAGAACAGTCATATTTTAGAATATGCTAATGAGTTGTACTATTACTATAGAAGTAACTTTACACCCAAGATTTATAGTTTAAAATATTGATGCAAAATTCAATTAATTACAAAGGGAAAAAAAGATCTTAGTATTATATAGATGGAAAAGTTATATTATAATATGTTTGGAAAATGAAAGTTTTGGTTTCAGGAATTCTGAGAGGTTTCTCCTTTTACGGGAACTAAAAACAGGACGTACTGGCAAGCAGACCAGATGTGATTTTCACAGTGTAAAAGAAGTTACTGGAAATTTATCTTGAATAAATTCAAAATATAAAAACATGCTCAATAAACATTCTTCTACCATTAAGCAAAATCCTATGTTATCAGGGATATATGAACAATCTGTTGTGAAAATCACAGAACTGATTTTTATACCTTAGCATAATAAAGAGATGCTACATTTGATTTTTAGTCTATTGATAAGCAATGTAATTACTATAGATAAATCTTTATGCCAATATTTATAAAAATCAGCAGAGCATTATCGTCTACAAAATTTTCAAGTTATTCAAGTATACATTTTCTTAATAATATACTAAGTAAAAACTACAGCTATAACTATACCATTACATTACGATTTGTCAGTCTATTCCTAATCACCATGCAATATTTTCTGATTTCCTACTCACAGTTCTCATCTAGCAGTTCCTCTGACTGTTGATCTTGATGCAAAAGGTTTTTTTCAACAGCCTAATTAATTTTCACTTTTTTGACAGCCGTTAAGAGCCCTTGCTATCCTCTCAAACCTGTTTCCTCTCCACCAGTTACAACTTCTAAACATTCATGTGACCTTTTGCCACTGATGGAAAGGGGGGTGGGGGAAATCAGGTGAAAGAGCAGCTGACTTCAAATATTCTACAAACACAGTCAAATTACATCCATGGTTATGTATCAATTTCATGAAGTGTGTGAGCTGCGTTACTGCTGTCTAAAATATATATTTGAAATCTTTCTTACTGGACATTGGTAGAAGATTTCATACTTATTGCGCCCCTCCATGCTCTCAAGAGCCATGTATTGACTCAATCCAGTGTGAATGCAAAAGGTTAAGGGAAGGCATTGCTTCAGTCCTAGTCGCTGCTGAAAGCCCCCAGCTGCCGTGTCAATGTCCAATAAATCTTCAGAGCGATAGTGATTGGAGAGTGCCATGCTTCCCATCAACCTTTGTATAAAAAATGTTTAAAAATATGCTTAAGAACATTAATGTAATTTTTGAATTCTTGTGCATAAAATTAATTCCAAAGAGCAAATACAATGAATTTTAATCTCTCACCCTGGGACAACCAGCTTCTGTCCATTATGGATTCGAAATGAACATCGATAATCATCAGGTAATTTGCAACCAATCTGTGCTTCCACTGCATCCAGATCATCTTCCTGAACACCGTCTGTCATATTAAGAAGTTACAAGTTTTCATACATGATTTCACACAATATAAACAAGCAACAATCTAAGACCCAATGCTAAACTGCTCAGCAAGTCCCACAGAAGTCAGCAACTCCGACAATTGTGTCAGGCTCATTTTCAGATGTAAGCAGGGCACTTTGTAACCTGTGGAACACAAAAAGAGCATCTCTATTGCAAATTTTAAATCAGATGCTTCTTCAATAAAGCACACATGAAAGTTTCTAAGTCTATCTTTGTGTTCATGTGTGTGCACTGCTTCCCTTCCCTTCACACTGAAAGAGTTGTATTATTGATGTGAAGAGAAGCGTTTCATTTGTGCTCCTCAACTCTTCAGAGCATCTCTTTGGAATGTTTTGCACATTCCTATAAACCAGAAGTGAATAAATTATTTTACTTCCAAAATAACTACAGGTAGTTCTTTGGTTATGATGGCAATTATGACTGGAATTTCTGTCACTATGTGATCTAATAAAATACAATGTCACATGAATACATAGCTTAACAGCAGCAATCTTGGCATTCCTGGCTCCTGTTGGAATTATAGAATTATAACACTCGCCAATAGTTGTTATTGAGTTTCTTATATAAAAATGCCAAAGTTAAATTCAAAATTTGAAAAGAAAAATCAAGGTACAAAGCTTTTCAAAATATCAGGTATATTAACAATACCTTTCAAAGAACTAATCATCCGAGGACAATGCTGCAACAAATATTTTTCCAAATCATCCCAGGCTTTTTTAAGTGTAGCATAATACTGAATATATGTTCCCAAATCAGCATACATATCTATGAAAATTGCTTTCCAGCTCTTAGTTGTTCGAGACTTCTCAGCTCTAAAAAAAAAATCAAATATGTACATTCATTGAGTCTGTTATCTGCACCTCTATAAGTGTCTGGTTTGGTTCTGCAACCCAACAGGACAGACACAGACTTCAGAGGATAATTAGGACTATAGAAAAAACAATTACTACCAACCTGCCTTTAATCGAGGACTTGCACGAGTCAAAAAGAGGGCTGTGAAAATATTTATAAAACCCTCACATCCCGGACATAAATTGTTTCAACTCCTACCCTCAAAACGACGCTATAGAGCACTGCACACCAGAACAAAGAGACACAAGAACAGTTTTTCCCCAAATGTCATCACTCTGCTAAACAAATAATTCCCTCAACACTGCCCAACTATTTACAAATTCTGCACTACTATTACTATTAATCTTCTCATCACTCATCACCCATCCCCTCCCACTTGTGACTGTATGGCTGTAACTTTGTTGCTTGTATCCTTACGATTTATATTGACTGTTTCCTAGTATGATTTGATTGCTTATTGTACCCTATGACTATCATTAAGTGTTGTACCTTATAATTCTTGCCTCTTGACGAATGTATCTTTTCTTTTATGTACACTGAGAGCATTTGCACCAAGACAAATTCCTTGTGTGTCCAATCACACTTGGCCAATAAAGAATTCTATTCTATTCTATTCTATTCTATTCTATTCTATTCTATTCTAT